AATGTTTTCGGTAACTGCCTCATCTGAAGAGCAGAGTCAATATATAGTTTGACTACATTAGTATTTGCATTCATGGTACTAACAGCAAAACAACATTTAGTCAGTTATTATTTATTGAGGAGGTAACATTGGCTTTACTTTGATTTTGATAGAAGCTTGTTAATTAACGGGTGACTCTTTCGGTTCTGAACATGTGCTTATACCACCATTACTGAGATGTCCTTAATGCAGCATATTAATTACAACAATACATTGCAAGGTGGCCGATATTACCATATTTTGACAGGGTGCTTGTTTCTAATTATATTTTACTTCAATTAAGTCTAGCCAAATTAATTGCTTGGGCTACAATGCAATGAGATTCATGTCCAAATTTCAGACAGGGCTTATGAAATGACTACTGCCATTAAACATAGGATTTTTTGCATACCCAACAGCTGCCGCTGATAATAGGAGCCTCCGGTAACAGCACTGTGGATAAGAAGAGTTCTGTGAATATAAATGCAACTTAATGAGGGTGGAGTGTTTCCACGTTTATCACTGTACTCCCCTGAATATTTTTTTTGCAATTACAGAACCAGTTCTGGGGAGGTATGGTCAAACATTCCACGTGACCAACACGATTTGCGAAGTCTTCATCCAACAGTGGACTGAAAATTATAATTATATTTTTATATTAATAATATTTATATTTGTTGTATTTCTGCCCAGTAGTGGGCCACACATTTTTGCGTGGCATTTAAAAATTACCATTATTTAGTTTCGGTATTATTCCAACTGAGCCAGGTGTACACGGCAATTTTATTTTCAATTACCTGGCCGATAATGGACACAGTGCTAAATCCTGCAAGAGCTGCTTTCTAAAGAGGCCAGTCACTCACCATATGACGAGTGCAAGAGCTGCCCTCCCTCCTCTCCCTCCCTCCCCTCCCTCCCTCGTGTCATCGAAGACGAGGAGACATGATCTCCAGATATTTTTCTATCTCTGCACAGTGAGCACGTTTAGTGACCAGAATGATCCGTTTGCAACTTGGTGGGCGTTTTAGTTTTTCGAGTTAAAACTGGAGCATGTGGATGAGAGACATCGGCCACGTTCGATGATGATGATGCCCAATTTTACGTTTTGAACGGACTGTGTTTAACATGTGAATGAGCTCTTGATATAAATGCACAATTTAACTTCAAAATAACCAACACGACAAACCCACGACCGATTTTGGTATCCCAGTCGAATTAACGCGTTAGCTCACTGCAATAATTAATATGGTAATGATTTATAGATTTTTACTGTTGCTTTCTCCAACTTAACCATTGCTTTTGTGAAAAAAATGTGCAGTGTTCAGTAGTGGCAGGAGTCCTCTTAAACTGGGTTTGCACAAAAATAAAAAAAAAATCTCACCACGTTTTCCATTAACACCATCGCCTTATGACAGAAAAAATATATAATAGGATTGTGCCGTAGTTTATTATATATCTTTTGGTTTGTGCGGCAGTGTTAATAATGAACATGGTGATATTTTTCTGATTTTGCGTGTGCATCACTGGCGACACATTACCTTGTTTTTTTTCCCATTATCATTTGATTATATTGTGTAGTTATTATTCTTGAGCATGTAGTGCTGCCTCTTCTACAAAAATTGCCTTATGTTTTATTCCTCCAAAACATTCCATCCCCATTGAATGGCTTTTTATGATGAGACACTTTCTTATTTTTATAAATGCAGTATCCATGAGGTGGGGTCAGAACAGCTATGCATGTCGCTGTGCCAAAAAAAGGGTTATTCATTCTGAAAACAACACAATTAGGTGCTCACCTGGCCATAAATGAGATCACTTATGGTATTTTGCATACACTCAATGCCCCCGTAATAGAGGTGGCCTATTCTGTATGCACAATTTCCACGGTAGCCACGTAATTAGCGAGATGAAGGATTAATGGAACATTGACATTAGCCTTCCTGGCTTCTATGTCGCGTATGCGGAATACTCGCCAAACGTGGAAAGCTTCTGTTTCTATCTTAACAGCGTCGAATGTCGGCTTGTATGGATCGGTCGTCTGCATTTCGGGATTTGGGTTTGGTAACAAAGCGCTCGCACCGCTAACAGACTTCACACATAATGTGTAAGAAAACTGGCATTTCAATGCTTTGAAAATTGAGATAGAATGGCGGTTCGTTTGCCAATGTGGCAAAATTATGGCTCTGATGCAAATCGAAATAGCCAATGTGGCAAGTAGGTCAATTCCTCTTTACATCTGGGCTGCTGCCATTTGGTAATGGTTAGCATACTGCACTTGCAAACCAGAGACCACACCGGTTCGATCTCCTGGCACGGTAGTTTAACAATGGGCTAGTTTATTAACTCCCCCCCTCCCTCCCCACCCCTAACTCTGTCCACCAGTAGTATGAATGGAGATTTACAGGTCGTATGTGGTGGGGTGGATACTTCGACCTCTTTCAAGACGCCTGGCTAGTGTGGAAGAGTAGGCCAAATAGCGATTAGAGGGGTTGTCTCAATCGCCTTCTCCTAGTCCTCCACCAGCAGTGTCAAGAGCAAGAAATTGCAGGGCTGCACCTTTGCCTTTTAAACTGGAGTCAATCTTTACCCATACTCCATAATCATTGGAAAGGCGAATTGAATAGAGTATGTTATTTATAACGACTTCGTTAAAGGGGAGGTGGGCGATGGAGAAAATTTTACGTAGTACCCCTGGAGTCACACAAAGTATAATTGAACATGTTTGCACTTTAATAATTGTACTATCAAAGTGGGTTTGACACCATCCTATTTAAAATAATGTTGTTTCTCGATGAGCATGACAATATAATACCTTGTTCATTATAACACTAAATTATTTACATTCTTAGTAATGTTGTTGTAATATTTTTGAGCTGTTATGATTCAACTGCCTTGCCTATAAACCACAACATATAGCATAGGCAGGAGGGAATTTGAATGTCAATGACTTTTTTCATTACAAAGCCAGCTGTAGAATGTGGAACTTTTACATACAACATAATTACATTCTTTTCACTTATAATTGTGAGAAAAAACCCGTTTCAATTCAATGAACTATTGTATTATTCAATCACTTGAATATTTCCATATATCACATATAGTTAATTATATATCACAACTAGCTGTACTACCCGGCTTCACCCGGGATTTGGATTCACCACAGGCGGCCGCCTTTGTCTCCCCAGTGGCGGTGTTCACACACCACACCAGTTACTCGTTTGAGGCTGAGTCGACCTAGGGGAGGCCCAGGACCGGTTCAAATAATCGGCACCGGTGGTGGCTGTGAGCGGGAATCGAATTCGGGTCGCCGGGTTCATAGCATGGCGCGCTAAGCACTACACTACAATGCGTTACGGTTCCACATGCGTGAGTCACATGACAGATTTGACGTCACAGCTCACTTGGTGTGCAAAAAATATATGCATAATTGAGCTCCCCCCCCCCAAAAAAAAGTGTATTTGTATAATTTTTGCATGGTGTACAGTCTGGAAAGTACCCACATGGCAAATTTCAAGTTTGTTGCATGTTCGGAAGTACGCTAAACATTTTGAACAGACACACATATTCACAACTTTGCCTTTTATATATATGGAGACAATTTATATTCTTAGCTCTTTCGGGAAAGTCACGTTGAAGGGAAACAATAAAATAATAAAATTCTCACGACGTTTCGACCCTTCAACGTGACTTTACCGAAAGAGCTAAGAATATGAATTACTGCAGTCACGAAAGCTTTAAATCAAAAAGTTGGAGATAATTTGTTTAAGTATTTTTTTATAATTTAACCACACAGGTCATTGTGTGTGTTTAGCCTTTCATTATCATGTGATTAGTAGTATAGCCGATGAGCACCCACTGATATTGAGAGATAAAGCAATTCCTTTAATCAAGTTAGGTGAATAGTTAGTTGTTTTCAGCCCAGTTAAAATAAATAGATTAACTCATTGTGATTGCACTTTGCAATAAGGTTGTGGCAGTTGAAATACTCTATTTGCATGGAAATTGAACATACATTGCATGAATAATGCAATAGAAAATGGCATTACATGAATGGACAACAATAGAACCTGAAATTAACGAACATCCATCAGGCATTAATTGAGGCAGCCTGCAGCGTGATAGATACGACAAATATATATTTTTGTACCGAGTGCACACTCTGTGGGGATTATATAAAGGTAGCTTGCTTTTATCTCGTAGGTCGTGTTTTTTTCATCACTTCATAAAATGTGAGGCAACAGTACTTTTGGTGCCAAAATAATCCAGGGGATGGAGAGCAATAGTGTGAGGCTATATAGCAAGGCCCTTTTTTTCCCCGTTAATAAAACTTCTGCTCCAGCGACTTGGGGGGAAATTGGATGCGGCGATGCTGCGCAACAGATAGGCTTTCGAGCACACGCTCCGTGCTGGAGTAGGCAGGCCGATGGATCTCGTGTATACCTGCTGTGATATCGCATTGTTGTGGCGCTCTGGGTTTAATTGAGGCACATTTATTTTGTGGCAAACTATTTTCTATTCATGAGCTCGTGTGATTCAAAGACAAAATGCAATTGAACGGAATGTGTAGGTCGAAGAATACAAATTAGGAAAATCACCCTTTTGGAGAGGTTTTGTATGTTCCTTGTAACATTACATAAATGAATAGGTGTTACATTGTTCATTTTCAAGTAAGATTTACAGCATCACTGTGTTGTGCCATCGTGATAGAACATGACCATGCAATTTGTTTTTATTTTGCTGTCCAAAATTGTACAGTACCAAGAAATAAATATGAATTTAATGCTGCCGCAGCATATTGTACAAAGACAGTTTAATAAATGCAAATTAATTTGAAGTCATTTATTTCTGGGAAAGGTTCGAGCATTTTACTTGGAATCGTGTTTCCCTCGCCCATAGAGAATTGTGCCACTTGTGTTGTGGTTTCTAATGTGTTTTGTTTTTCTCTCTCTCCTTCCCAAATCGAATGTTGTGCCTGGCCGCAGCTGGGACGACGATAGTTCAATCAGCAGCGGACTGAGTGACACCATCGACAACGTGAGCACGGACGACATCCACACCAGCTCCTCGGTCAGCTCCTACCCCACGACGCCGGCTACCGCTCGCAGAAAGGGGGAGGCCAAGGTGAGAACTTGGCACCAATTAATTCTCCATCTAACTAATACGTAGGTGTTTGCGGCCAATGCTGTAATTCACAATTGATTTTTGGGTGAGGCCAAGCACTGATCTTCCCAAGTTTTAATCCTAAGTCCCTTCGCCACCTGACATTTGATATCCTGAAGATGCTTGGCACGGTTTCAAGCGAAATGTCTTCTCCGATTGCTACGTTTGTTTGTGAGAATTGTTATTCAACGTACCGGTGACCTGAAACAATAGCAATTGGGCTGTTAAAAAGTGTAGTTTGGTTGGCTTTGATGAAAATGCTTGGCTATGTTGGGTAGTGGATTCATTTACGACACAAATTTGACCAAATCATTACATTGCGTCACCCAAAGTGAATTATTAATCGTAATTAATTTATGTTATCAGCCTGTAACTTCCCACTTCTGGCCAAAGGCCTCCCCCATTTTCGTCCATTCCTTCCTTTTTGTTCACTTTCTTAGTTGCTCTTGTTCAGTAGTCTGCTAGCCTCAGAACTCAGAATCAAAATATTTATTTATACTTGAGGAATCCGATGAGCTATAAAACTCCACTTTCTCTCTGATTTCACCTCACCATCTCTTCCGCCATCTTCCTGCGCTTCTTTTTCCACTTCTTTTGCCGTTATTCAACGTGTTGACGCCGGCTCATCGGAAGTGGCTGCCTTCCCGCTTGTTGGAGGTTCCTCCTCGTGTCTCCCGAGTCGTTGTCTGTCTTGGAGGAGCGAGTGAATACTGTGCGCGTGACAAGTCGAAATTGTTGTTATTCGTTTATTTTGGCGAGCTCTCAAAATGTTTTTTTTTGCCAGTTTCCACTTGCCTTCAGTGTTATATCTTGTCGCCTCTGGTATTTTGTATATCCAGAGTGTTGGGAGGTTTTTTTTATGTTACATTGGGAAAAGGTTATTGCTTGTAAATGTTGTGAATTCACTCTTCAACACACCGGTGGGCTAAAGTAGTGGACTATTTGTCTTTTGTCAATGTGACACATTTTTTTATGATTGGCCATGTCGGGTGGTGGAGGGTTGTGACACATGTATAAATAATGCCATCTAACAAAAAAAAACCTTTATTATGAATAATATTGGTCGCGAAAGCCTACGTGTAAAACTGCTTAATTTATTATTGAAGATACATAGTACAGGACAGTTATGGTATGCTGATTGACACACCACTTTATATTCAAGGAAAGGCAATAGGGATGATATGTAATAAGGGTTGGCTTGATGTTAATAATGTCAAATCCAGTATCTGCAATGCACACTTCCACACCTCGAAGAATATATTAAATTGAGTGTATCACATTTTTTAATTAACAGCCTGTGTGATATGTGAGGCATTGCAGCTCAGGTGCCAACCCCAGTTGTGTGCCAAACCTAACATGACGACAGTATATGATGCCTGTAAATCACTGGGTTTTTTGCCTACAAAAGAAGCTTTTCTTTTAATATTTTTCTACCATCCAATCAAATAACCGCAAATTATGTGGGTTTTAGTAGGGTGTCTTTTCCCCCACACTACCGGTTTGCTATGTATGGTGCGTAAGAAGTTCAAACACACTTAGGTACATGTGTGGCAGGCAAACCAAATATGCTTACGTGTTAAACTGATATTTATTGAAAACCCTATTTGTTTTCTTGTTCAGTCATGGGTGACCAGGGTGAGTAGGCTCGCTATCAACTCACTACACTTGAGAAATCAGTTAACTACGGGTGGCAGCCCATATTCAAAATCCAGAATGTCAGCTTTGCAGACAAGTCCTTTGATCCATTAACCACCCAGCCACCTCCTTAATTGTTTATTCACTACACTGACCAACTCGAAATCACTGCACCTGTCGTGCAACAAATCACTGAATACCTGTGGAAGCTGATTAGTCCGAACAATCGATTGGCGCATGCAAACACAGTTCAATGACATTTTATCCAAAATCTTGTGCACATGTGCTGCAGCATATCACACAACCCCCCACAGGCACAGTCCTTTAATGTTTTAAAATATCTGTGCCGACAGCGTCCAATGCACCATAAGGTCCCAAGCACTGCATCAATGCCTTCCTGAAATGGAGCACTTACGTGATGAATGGCCACATCTGGGCTGCTCCATACGGGATAATGTCAGTTGTGTGTCGCACACAAGTGCGGACCATCATCCACTGACTGTTCCGCGGTTTAAAATGGCACGGTGGGGGGGAGAGACTGCTTGGGACAAGGGGGCAAGAGGTCGGTTGAGACCAAAAAACCCACCCCCATATATGGAACTGGAAATACAGATCGCTGGTGTGTGGTTTGTAGAATCGTATCCGTTCGCTGGCGGAGCATTATGGCCTACTCACATTGATGTAAAATGTGTAAAAACGATCACTTTCAAGATGTTGTGGCGCTAGTCCCCGCATTCTCCATCCGCTGCCCTTGCTGGAGGCCGACAAACCGTTGTGTGTTGAAACAGAGCTTCGCCCTCGGTTTCAGAGCATGTTTTTTTTGTTTGTATTTTCACCACAAGTATCTGTGGTCAATGCAGACATGATTCCTTGCAAAAGGTTTCAGTTTTGTGTTTTAACATCTTGACACAAACAGTTTTGTTGCCAGAAAAAATGGGAAAACCTATTCTTATATCCTGTAGACACTCGAAGCAAATTGGTTAAACTGTGAGCACGATAGATTAAGGGCATATGGAGATCTGCTATGCTTCGGGCATGTGCGTATATTAAAATAAAAAGTCAAAGTTAAGAGTTTTCAAGATTTACCATCATAAAATTATGTTGCATGTCAATTTGTGCTTACGAAGCAGCAATTACCAAAACAGTCCGCGCTTTAGTTCCTCCCGGCTCAGGCTAATTGAGATAGAGATTGTGAGATCACGTGCCCCCTGGTGGTTGCACGCTGGGCATTGCAATCGGCAGGGCATCGACCTGGCAATCAGCAAAAGAAAAAGCAGCGTTTCCCAAATGTACAAGGTGTGTGGTTAGCCCATACATTCGCTACTCACGATGTAATTTCATGGCTCAACCACCGCATTGTTAAATTATAGTTGTTGCTCCACATCAACATTGTTTCTATAATGTATTAAAAGCTTTGTTGTTTGGATTCACATTGAAGCTTCGTCAGAATAAAACGAGCAGAAAACCTAAATATGAATATTTTTGTTCACCAATAAATTATTACTTTGCCTTTTAATTGGAGTATATATTTATACTGTACTACCAAGATTAAAAACAAGTTCAAGAGGTTTCATGATTTGAAAAATAATCCCTTTTGGTTGAAATAAACCCTACTGTGCAGTAAATTATGTGATCATGTAAGGTACTTACATCTTGGCATGTATAATTATAAATACATCTGCATTCCTCCTTTCTATTTATACGTTTTAAAAACCCGATACGTGACTACAATTATTTTGTTCAAATATATTTAACGATTAAAGTTTTTTCAATGACCATTAAATTGTACGTACATTTCATTTAAGCAAATATGTCGTGGAAATTGTTCATTACCACAAAGGAATGTTTGCTATAATCTTTGAATTATACAATAAATATTTTATCATAAGAAAAAGATTGCGATGGATGAAAAAAGAACAACGTCAAACATTGTCATTTCACTCTGAAGGGGTTTCTGAGAGCCTTGTGCATGAATGTTCAGACATTAAACAGGTCAAAATAATATAATTCCATTTGTCTTAATCACAGCTGAATTTCTTGACAGCCGGACAAAGCATGCCTTTGAAATCTGCAGCCTGAATATAGAAAGGGTATTGATGTTCTCTCCCGTTTGTTTATTTATTTAGGCAGTTATTTAGATCTCTTACTTAAGCCTGCAAATATTTCTAATGACTATGAGCAATACAATTGAGAAATGTTAGGAATTAGAACTCGGTGATAAGATATGGCCAATTGAGCATCATCCTTCAAAACATTGCTAAAATATCTCCCATCGTTCTCTTAAAATGTATTGCAAAATGCATTTTGTGTCAAAACCTATTCACTAATTGAACGCACAAAGAGATAAATGTAAGCTACACCGTGATTAGAATACCACCCCTGCAATTTGCTGCCAAGCATTTAGAACATTAATATGAATAAATGCACATATTGTGGGAGGCCACTTAAATAGATGATGATGATAATGATGCCTTTTCCCGCAGCTGCGTACGGACAATGAGAAGCGCTCAGGGGTGGACAGAAACGGCGGCTGGCAGCACGGAGGCTCGGCAGGAGAGGACATGAAAGCCGTGGGGAGCAGCAGGGGCGGTTCGATGGACCCAGAGCACGGAGGAAGAGTGATGGAGCCCGGCGCACGCTGGAAGCGCAACCCCTCGGACGTGTCGGATGAGTCGGAGAAGAGCTCCGGTGGTCTGCGTAAACCCGGCAGCGTTGCACACACGGGCTCGTGGCGCAGGGGAATGAGTGCGCAGGTCGGCATCGCGCCTCCTCCGCGGGGCAAAGCCGCCACGTCTGCCCTCAAGACGCCGGGTGAGCTGTCCTGTGATTGCACGTGTTCGCCCATGCGGTGCGTTGTTTTAGCGACTCTCCCATGTATTTTCCGGGGTTGAGCTAGCGCATCGTTTGGCATGATGTCCTGGGGGCTTCCTCGTCGGAAAAGTTCGTTCCTTCAGGTCGAGCACACAAATGTTAATTCCCAAAGAAAGTCCCAGGCATTGTGGGAGCGAAATTTTTCAGACATCATGATGCCAAAACCGCAACCTGAAAACACACCGGAGAGCTTGTATGGCACAAGTGCAGCAACCTTATGCGGTGATGTGCTTGAAGAGTCATTCTGAGCTAATGAGATTCCGCATTTGCTTTAGGGAAAACAGATGATGCGAAAGCGTCCGAGAAAGGCTGCCTCTCGCCTAAGCGCGGCGCTGTTCAGCGCTCCCCGTCGGACGCGGGCCGCAGCAGCGGAGACGAGGGCAGGAAGCCGCCGTCGGGCATCGCCCGGCCCACGGGCGGCGGTGCCTTCGGCTTCAAAAAGCCCGGCACCATCATCACGGCGAGCGGCGCCACCATCACGAGCGGTTCCGCCACCGTGGGGAAGCTCTCCAAGTCCTCCGGCATCGCGGGCCGTGCGGGGGCCTGCATCGGCGGGCGTAAAACGAGCGTCGACGGTTCTCACGACGACCCGGCGTCACGCGCCGCCCTGACGTACAGGAGTCTTCCCCGGCCTTCCAAGTCCGGCGGCGGCGGCCACATCCGCGGCCTGGGGAACCGCTCCAGCACCAGCAGCGTCGACTCCAACGTGAGCAGCAAGTCCGCGAGCGGACCCCCAGGGTCCAAACTCCGAGAGCCGTCGCGCATCGGCGTGGGCCGCTCCAGCCCGCCGGCCGCCGTCGGCCCCCCCCATCACGCCACCGCGGCCGTGCTGGCCCACGCGCAGCATCACGAGAGGGACAAATCGACGGGTGGGTCGGTGCCGGCGGAGAGAGAGCGGACCCCGGCGAACCAGACGGACCGGGAGAAGGCGGCGGCTGCCGCCGCGGTCGGAGCGGCGGCTTCTTCTGACGCGGAGAGTGTGGCGTCGGGCTGCTCCGTGAAGCTGAGCCCCGCGCAGACTCCCGCTCTCGCATCGCCCAGCCCCACCCAGCCCGTGCCCAAGTGTCCTGACATTTCTTCCCCAACGCTTCGTAGGTAAGGCGTAGACGAGGTAAGCCGAGCTGCTTGTTAATACGGCATTTGAAAAATAAGGCTGCTGACTACTTGGGTTGTGCTTTCTTTTGTTTTTAGTCTGATCTTGTTTGAACAAATGAATAATAGTTAGCAAGAACAATTCATGGCAGGTACTTAGTTTCATTGTGATTACATTGGTGTATGCACTGCGATCCCTCAATACTATTTTTTATCGTTTGAAACAGCATTTTCTTGTAGACTTTCTGAAAATAAGTTTTGATTAAATCATGAGCGGCAATGGTCTACCATCATCCAATTTTGGTTGTCTAATTCACCTTCCTTTTCCACAGGTTATTCGGAGGAAAACAAAGCACCAAGCAGATCATGACAAGTAGCGACAACTTGAAAAATTCCACCATCATTTCAAACCCACATGCGATGCTGGCCCGGCAGGGCAGCACCGACTCTCCGTCGCCCGTGGACGGCAGCATGGCTGGCAGCTACAGCAGCGGCGGCCCCAGCTCGGGGCTCTCCCCAGCCTCGCCTGCCACCTCCTCCTCTTCCGCGTGTAGTCCCGGCCCTCCTAAGGCCTCCATCCCCACCCCGATGGGCATCTGCGGAGGCGGCGGCATGCCTTGGGGTATTGGACTTGCGCATTCTCCGACGGCCGCCGGCAAAACCGGCCTCTACCAGCAGGCACTGGGGCAGCCGCTGGACCTGGCTCTCTCCGGAGCCTCGAGCTCCATGGCCGCCGCTGCTGGGTTCGGGGGGCAGTCGGCGGTGCCGCACGGCTGCTTGACGCCGACGTCCAAGCCGGAGAGCGGCCCGTGCTCGTTTGTGAGGACCAGCAGCCTTAAGTCCACCATGTCCGAGAGGTGAGTGAGGCCTAACCTTCCCACGGTGACACCATTGGTGTATGCAACCCCTGGTTTGCCGGAAAGTTTTGTACGGATGTCATCCTTTGGCTGCCGGGGTGACGAACAACGCGAGCTGTGCTTCTTAATTTGAGCTACGCACGTTTTCAACCAAAGGTGTATTACTTTTTAAGTTTATTCTGCATGCGTTAATATCTATAACATTAAAGCACTCTCAGCTTACCTTTTCTTAAATACTTTCTCTTGAAGGTGATGGTCGTTTGTAAATCCCTTTTATATAATTGCCTGTACCTACCTTTTTCTTGCCCTGCACTGGTTTAACAAGATGAGATATGTTCCAGAATGTTACGTATGCGCATTAAGGTATATTACTCCCTTCAGCCCTTTTTATATCTGCTTTCTCCTTATTCCTCTTCCCTCCTTCCTCAGTCCCCCTTCCTCCCCAACCACAAGCACGCATTTTATCAGCAACACTTTACCTAGGAGACAAGACAGGTAACTGCAATGGCAGAATGTAATTACAGGGGGCCTGAAAACAAGCCGAATGTTATTGTGCCATCCGTCAGTATGTTTTGACTCATAGGGTGAATTTGTACATCGGCATGACCTTCTGACATTCATTTGTGATTTGTGCTTCAAGTCGGTGTTTGATTAATCATGCACATTTTTAACAAAATATTTGCAGTGTTCTGTCTTTGTGGCGCCATCCTCAAATGTGTTTTGATGACAAGAGTTGTGGGGTTTTTTGTTGTTGTCTTCCACTCACAAGTCATTATTTGTGTTTGCTGTCGGTGTCGTACACATTGTAATGATATTAACAGCGTAGGGTTTATCCTTGGTTTTGGCTCTAATTGGTGCAGTCGTCAATGGTTTAAAAATTCAAGTGCCTCGGTCAACGGAGTGAACTTCCGAAGCAGCCGTTCACTTTCAGTGATTTCCTCACTCAGCCAGAGAGGATGCAATACCAAAGCTGGAGCTGTGCATCAAGATAAACATGTTGTTACATCGTGAATGAAAAACTTATTTTATTTAATAATTGCATAAAACTAAATCTTCATTGATGAGTTTTAAATTGTGTATTTCAGGCAACTTCAGAATAAGAACATCTTGGATAAGTGAGTTTGCATTTTTCTTTTACATAAATTTCAAAGCATAATTGATTTAATTTACATCTATACTGAAATAAATTCAAATATTTAAATGTACCCATTACCTGCTCTTAAACATAACAAACTATAATTTTCCTACTGTTTATCTAAGTGATTTAAAAACAAAAATTCCAAGCCTTTGGGACATGCTCCTCAAAGTTGTCTGGCTGGAGTGTTTGGAGTACAAGCCAATAATTATTATTGTCGAGGAGGACACTTGAAACGTATGCCTGAGAGTAGAGTGCAGCAGGGAGGTTGGTAGAATCATCTGCATGCAGCATGCGTTCACCCCACAGCAAGCGGCAGCAGTCGGTGGCAGTGCTGGACAGATTGTCTTTGGCTTGTGATTGAGGGCGTGAAATGTGGTCATGGGGTTGGTTTGTAGTTGGAAGTTAGTTTTTTTTATATTATCAAAGTCACAAAAAAATCACCGTGGCCACATGAACACTACCTGTGCACTGCAACATAATTCGGATGTGACTATATGACCCATTGCATTATTAATGCTTGAAACCAACTTTTATTAAATAGCAATCTTCATAAAGGTATTTTTTTTATTGATTGCTTAGCCAGTATTGATTCATTATGCCAATGACAACAATATAATTTGTGTATATTATGGCACTGTGGTCTGCATCCATATGTCCTCAAACTCGCTCTGTAACATTTAATAAACTGTTTGCTCTCCACAGATGCCCTACCTAATAATTTAATGCAATCACATATCCCAGGTAGTTATAAATAGTGGCATTATAATTTCACACATACCACTATTTTGTAAAATGACACGACAATCGGCACTTTTATAAATTCTTACACAAGCCATTGATATACTATTAAAGTGAACAGAATCATATTAATTTTAATTACTACACGGGTACATACAAACATTAATAAATTATATGTTCCATGATGGCCTCTGTCCAAAGATGTGTTTGACCCTACCAAAAAAATGTAGTCAAGCACTGCGACTATAAGAATCTGTGTCGTGCAGAACATCAATTTGCCATTTGGTCATATCACTTGCCAGTAACATGCGTTATTGTATTGCCATGTATATTATTTGTGATACAAGCAAAGGAACGGTGATTTTGTTGCACATATTGGCACACTTGTCAATCAGTGTCCTAATGGGCCCTTTTCCTCAAGCCCTACTGCCACTGCTCATCGTGAATGTGTGAGCTGCCAACGTTGCTCTTCCGCTGCACCAAACCCAACCCTCGCCAGGTCAGAGGCAGCGTTTAGATCCTTGTGCCTCTGAGCTCCCCCTCCAAGAGCACGACCCGGTTGTTGTTCACTTTGGGCTTCTTCTCTTCTTTTCCTTCTTTGTAGCTTTCTGCTTCTTGACAGGAACACCCTGCCTAAAAAGGGCTTCAGGTACCCCCTCCCCCCCTCTATGATGTTAAACTGGCTGTGGATCTCCTTCCGAGGTGTTCTCCCCACTTGCTCATGAGCATTTCCTTTTTTGCGCTCTCTTTATTTATTTCCAGTATGCGCCTCGCAGTGCTTCTTGGTCCGCCGGTTTTTGCTGTCATCCTGTTTTCCAGAACTGCTGTGGACCAGAATCAGAATATTTATTAATACTGGCAGAATCCGATGAGCTAGAAAGCTCTTTTCTCATAGATGTCCAGTAGGGGCGGGTAAGATCGTTACAACAGGCAATGCAAAAACACGGTAGGAGTGCAAAGTACCAGAAAGGTAAACAAATCACCCAAACACGTACAAATAAAACACTAAACCATCCCCATCCTACCAGACGAAGCCCATTGAGGTATCAACTTATATTTCATAAGCGACCTGGCTACAAATGATAGATCATCAAAGTGGCTTATCATTTGGACATCTATTGCAGCAAAATAATCTCAGTTATCTCAAAGTATGGTTCTAAATGTGGAGGGGGAAACCGGCTGGACCAGGAGAAATAATCCACGCGGCCACGGGGAGAACATGCAAACTCCAAATATATAGGCGTCAGGATCAGGATCGAACACCCAATACGGCTGCTTAACCTGAGAGTCAGGTTGCGTTGTATGATATCTGTGACCAAAAGCAGATATCTATCGTTTTGCTAAATTTAATTAATGCTCTCTAGCTGCGACAGCGTACGTTACATTTTCTACGTATATCTCTCATGACAGATTGCAGACATGATACCAGAGAGGCTTATCCATTTTTCATCTGCGATTAAAATTTAACCTAGGAAATACCCCACAGATACGATGACATTAATTTAAATTAATTTAAATAAAGCTCTACTAACATGGGACTTTTTCCGTGGAGTGTACCTTTTTTGTGGGTTATTGATATATATATTTCAATGATTAAACAAGGGTAATCTTTTGTACCATTGTACCAATGTACATCCCAGCGTGTAAAGCCCACGTCCGTGAACGCTTGCCTCCTTTTAAAGAGGGCAATGGGGCATTTGTTAAACAGAAGCTTGTTGCGGGGAAGTTAAAATTACTTCTCCCTCCACGATCCTGGTGCAATTCCCACCCACCGCTGTTCATTGTGGCCCTCGTCACGTTGCTTTGGTGCTGCCAGCTGTCCCATTTGTTTCGTTTCGCATGACATTCTGTGTTTCTGCATGGTGGCTCAGGTCTGCATACACGGGACATGTGAATGTGTTTTTTGTGTGTGTAAAGGTTAGGTGACTGAGTAACTGTAATGAAGGTGACTTGTATGGGTTTTAAATCAAAGTCACAGTGTCTCCCTGCTTCAAAAGAGCAATTTTGGTGGCGCTCATCTCTGGTCGCCCAGAGCCAGACGTAGAAATTCCACATTACAATGAAATTGGCCATCCTGTCTACAGGGCAAAGTGATTCTCATTTTGATCAGCCTCTTACGGTGGACCCTGGCAGTAAGTACACTTGATGATTGTTCATCAATCATTGTTCGTCAATTGTACTTACCACATCAATCATTGTTCATCAAGTGTACTTACCAAGGTGCCATCTGGCTAGATTCCCCTCCCCCCTAATATACAGTTTTTACTATCATCCAATTAAGTTGTTGGCTGATGAGCAAATATTTCTGTGCTAAAACAGTGCGTGGAACTTCTTTTTCATCATGGGGTGATTATCCTAGCAGTCTGTTGTGTAGGTTGCCTGTTGTGTAGGTTGGCAAATACCACCAAACATTTCTCAATAACAGACCCACCTATCACCTGCAGGGTTATTTGCTAAGCTACATGACGTCACTTGAGCGGTTGTTTACTTACCGCTCAGAGTGGCGTTTTCTCACTGTCCAGTTGTTCAAGGTTGAGTAATTGCCTTCTCTTTTTTGGGTTTGTCAACAACTCACCGCTTACACAATGTTCATGCTCCATGGAAATGGCCAATGCTAGATCGTGCGCATGGCTTTGCCTTCAGACAAATGTTCACGATGGAAAGAAAAATCGCATCTACACAACGTGAGCAAAATTACGGCCTATTGGAAATACCAAACATTTTCTGGAATTGGGTGGCAGCAGGTCACGTACTGCATGTGACATTGAACATTTTGACGTGCGCACATGTTGGTGCTACTCCACATGAGTGTGGTATTAATTTGGGTGGTCCAGCTGCTCGTCTTAAAGGACAGTTACTTACATCATACAGTTTAGACTGTCATTTTGAGGGGTATTTTTACCCGGCACTTTAGTAAGTCGGTCTCAATTAATGTCAAAGTAGAATATGCCTTCAATGTGGCCACCAAATTAAAAGCCAGGCTTTTAAAAAGTACCTGTAAGAGACAAGACTTAATGGTAGGAAGTATATAATTGCACAGCAAAGTAACGTGTTTTTTCACGTGTACAGCTTTGTATAATTTCCAGACATATCTTTAAGAGCACTTGAATGTTTTTTTGTCTATTATTTCCATGCTTTTATCTGAATTATAGGATGACAGTGTGTCCATTCAAAGAGCGTGTGTGTGCACGTGTACATATCCTGCCCATTCACGTGCCTGTGCGTGCCCCAACTTGCTTTGCGCGTGTGGGCATACGGCTCTCTACATGCGCGCGTGCCCTCGCACGTCTCAATGTGCATGTGCAGGTGCACGCCATCCCAGCAGCGCGGCCAGGACGAGTGGCTGCGCTCATATTCCATCGGCGGACTGCAAGATACGGGCGAACACTCTCCCCTGACCTCCGCCACAGCCATCACCTCTCCAACCGGCACGCGATTCCACTTCCCACCACCCGGTAAAACAATCATGCTCCTTTTCACCGCGTCCTGTTATTGCCGGGGTAGACAATCCCCTGCTTCACTTTGTCATTTGGCTGGTGTGGTTTGGTTTGGTCTGGCACCGGAGCTGGATATTAGTTCAAGCAAGGTCACCGTCTATTAAAGAGGCCAACTGAATCTCATGTATTTTCTGTATGTTGAACTTTTTTCGCACCGTACATAGCCAACCGTGCTAATTGGAGGTGCGGTTGACTTAATTGTGACCCCTGCCCCTGTTGGAACATCATTGAAAATGAGCTCCATAGCTCATCGGATTTTTCCAGGATAAATATTCTGATGCTGAATTTGATGTTTACATCAGAGTTTATATATATTTACATGCTCCGTTTATTCCATTGCCTTACCGTTCTTGTGTTGTAGCAATGGGGATTTGACTGGTAAAGCACTGGGTGTAGAAATGTTAATTGAAATGGATTCTTATGAATTGCCATGGAGTGATGGCATAGCGGTTGTAACATTGAACTATCAACCTTGAGTCCTGAAGTTGATTCCTCGCCATCGCCAGTATTGGTGGCGAGCGATGTCTAAGCCCCCCCCCACACCTCCTCCAACCATTCCATCCCAACTTCACCAATCTGCACACAGCATGTGGAGTGACTGACAAATGGACTGGAAATTAATTGTTGTTGATTAACTGGAGCAGGAAACAAAGTGTATCATTTGTCAATTATCTTAAATGTAATCGTGACATTGGACCTGCATCCAGAAGGGGCTTGTTGTTTATTTCAACTTTGGAGTAAAACCCAATCCATTCAAAATAGTACGAGTTGTCCAAATAAATGGTTAGACAATCTTAAATCGGCATGAAAATCTCAATATGTGAGCATTTTGTGTTGTCTTGTGGTCACTTTTAAAAAAAATATTTTTATTCGATTTTTGCTGGAAACAAGAACGAACGCCTGTAGCAAAATGTTGAGTGACAAAACCAACCGTACGCGAATATTCGCCAGGCTCGTGTATCCGACGCTGATTGTGGTCACTTTTTTGTTTGCAATAATTTCCGTTATTGTTGTTCTGTTGTTGTCGTCGTCGTTGCCCACCACGCAGTGAGCCCGAACGCGGCCTCCCAGCTCAGCGTGTCGTACCCCAACGTGTTCCGCTCCAACAGCGTGTCGGCGCACGACCCCGCCTACGACATGTACGGCGGCAGCGACGCGCGTCTCCGCAACAGCTCCGTCTCACTCGACGAGCGCCACCGGGGCATGAGCCGCTCCGGCTCCTTCCGTGACGGCATCGAAGAAGGTCAGCGGACGGCCACGAGCGCAGTTTCAACCGACCGCGTCGGGTGTTTTTTGTTTGTTGTGGGCGTGTGCGCCTGTGGCATGGCTCTTTGTTTTCGTGTCAAGCCGTACGTTGTTCGGCGCGATGTTTTCGCTTCACGTGCACCCGGTGGATTCTTTAGAAACGGAGTTGTTGGAGATTAAGTGCGCGGGTCCAAAAGGACTCGCGCGACTTTCACGCGGTGGTGGTAGTAGTGGCGGTGAGGGATGTTGTTGAATCCTGAAGGCAATTATCCGGCTCAACCACCGTGACGTAAATTCACAGTTGTTGCTCTACATCAGCGTCAGCCGTTTGAAGTAAAGGATGAGTTTATGAATTGAGTCCAGTTCCTGAAGAAGATTATTCTCAGAAGGAGCTTCCAGAATGTAGAGCGAACCGTTGTACATCGTGCTGAGCAACACGTGGTATGACCCAAACATCGCAGTGGAGCGCTACATCACAAGTGTTGCATCCAAGCTTTCACCGAGTGCCGCCTCTGAAAATGTGTGTAGTTTTTACCTGCTGTTTTCTCTGTTGATGACACCTGAATACCAGAGAAAACAAGATGTATGTACGTTGAATTTCTTTCGCACTGTACGTAGCCAACCGTGCTAATCGGAGGTAAAGGGGAAAGACAACAAACTAAACGCACAAATAAATATGTTTCATCTCATTGGTTTATTTTCCCTAATGTTATATTCTTTATTAAATAATAGAGTTAATGTCCAGCACTCGATGGCCCCAGGGACACCACATAACACAAAACAAATACTATTTCACTTGTTTTTCCGTTGAAATCTTTATCGTCTACAAAATATTGTTGACGCTCTTCTGAATGGCAGTGACAGAGCAAGCTTTGTATGCCAGCGTTTTCATGTTTATTACATGTATCACTCACATTACGATGTTTCAAATTATTCACATTGCCCTTATTGCTTTTTTCACCCTATTTGTTAGTAGATCAGTTGCCTTGGGTCCGAAACAAAAGGGTTGTTATTTACGCCATACGTCCTGCATTTTTGGCTCAAAGTGTATTTCGTTATTTGGATACAAAGGTGCCAAGTGATGTTGCACCACGAATTACCATGAAGACCTTCATCCCTGCCACGGGACGGCCCACCAATTTGGGTGGTGGTTTGCGGACGTCCACTTTTATGACCGTATTTTTACAGACAGAGAAAAAAAAGAGTAAAGTCAGACCGTCTGTAAACTTTGAAAGGAACTATAATTCGTTTAAAAGCAGGTAAGGTTATAGCAAATATAGTTTAACGGCCTGGGGGAAAGGTAATGTTTTTTTCTGCCTCTTCTCCAGTCCCCGCGTTGGGGCGGGGTGAACGTTTCGCCTCCCTCAACCACCACGTGCACAGCTCCATCAAAGTTAAACTAAGTTCCTGTTTCCCGCACAGTGTCGATCGGGACACCTTTGACACCGTGATGCTTTTATTCACTGGCATGTTCACGTACAGCCCTTTTGTCAACCCAATGGTGGGTGAGGGCTTCTTCCCCACACTCTGCGGTCGTGGGAGTTGTTTGACCACACTTCGCTAATCACAGCGAAAACTGTGAAATCAACATCCCATACCTGCAATATTGACCAGTGTCACCACATCAGCCCACCACACTGCCAAGTTCCGCCCCCCGTAGATGGAATCGAGCACAGCGAGTTTGTTTTATCCTTCTCCACCCCCGCCCAATTTGCCACAGCTATTACGTGCGGGTTGGTGACGTCGGGGAGCACAGATGACTGAGCGTAGTAGTACAGTACAACACTGGGGTTTCTGCACTGCCCCCCAGCGCGTATAATACTCTCCAAGGACATCTTGATCTCAAGTCTTGTGTTTTCGCCATAGCAATAATATGCATTTCAAATCAACACATCAAATTAAACGAATAAAAATGTTTCATCAAATATTGCAGTCACAATTATGCTTACGCAAATTGAGTTGTCATAGCTTATTTGTAGAAGCATTTAAAATTTGCAACATTGCAGTAAGGCTGACCATTGCTAACATATATATGTTTAAACCTGAATCTCTTACATTTCCTTTGAATTCATTCAATCTCACCTGCGAAAGGCATTTCAGGATCAGTTGCCACCCTTAAGGCTTGCTAGTGGACAGGTTTTATGGTGGCCTCCAGAGGCTCTCGAACAGAATGTACGCAAGATATGTGTAAGTGTCATCGGCGCACAATACATTTCCATTCACAGGGTCATCCCCTTTGCATTTTTGTGTGAGTGAGATCGCGAGGCTATCTATCAACTTTCAAGATATATTTCTGTGCTGCAAAGAATTTAGGAGGTACAGTAAGTTAAAGCTTTGGTGCTTTTTGCAGGGATATATTTGAGATGGCTTGGCTTCATTATATTTTATTGAGCTGGCATATCCGATTATTTACATACTATCAGTCCATTGATTATTGTATGATTACTTAAATTATCAGATAATACCAAAATACTTGCAAAGTTATGTCCTGTTGCCGTTGCCACATGTGCCGCTGGATGGGAGGTAATGGGGAAGTCTTGGTGGTATCATCGGCCGGTATCATCAGTCGCGTCGTGCTGGGCGTGGCTTGTCAGGGTTTCCTGCATTCAGGAGGCAGGGTGTGAGGGTGGCTGAAGTTTTGAAATGGGCCTGAGTCGTAGAGGATAGAAAAAAATTGTCAATCCAAATGTTTAGAAGATTAATCGACTTAATTGATTCATTGGTTCAACCCTACTTTTGCACTTTTAACATGTATTAAATTATACACGCATTAAGTTAATGCAGACTGTTAGGCACGGGGCATTGCGAGTAAATAATGAATGAATCCACATCTGTAAATGTTATTTTTCTTGATTACATTTATCTAAAGTTTCGTAACAATTAACTTGTTTTCCCAATGTAATAATGGACTTTTGAAAATTACACACGTGCTTTTGTTTGATTATTCTTTATAACAATTGCTGAAATAAAAATAAGTACGATCAAAGAAACCGTTCGCAGAAATAAATTAGAGCACTGAACGTGCAAACAGATTGGATTTAGCATAAAAAGTCAGTCAGTCATTCGCAAGCAAGCTTTGTGGAAAACAATAAATATACATAGCCATGAGATATAAAACTTCTAAGTGTTCTCTACTGGACAGCATTGACGTGCAGCTATTTGAGAAACACGTGCTGTACACTTGTCAAAATCATAATCCTTTGTTACCCAGACAGCCATCAATGCGCATTCCACTCCACTGGGTATGTTCAAGGCCAAATTTGCTCTCAGATGGAAAATTCCTGATTTCACTGAGCATTCAAAAAAAAAATCTGAGACACGCTTTGGTGTGGTCCAAGGTTTTTCCATGCTACTCAGTGTAGGAAAGCTTGCACATCCTGAAGCATCAGTGGCTCACGGTTGGTCTGAACCAAGTTGGTCAAGGTCGGCGTATTTGCCGGTGTGTTTGACATCCAAATTGACGGGGAGCTCCTTCAGTGCCGTGGGTCTAGTGTCAGGTGGCATGAAAAATGTCAAAACTGTGAACAACCAACAGTTGTCACAATTGTACATCCGCAAGTTAAATCTGCATCATTACACAATGCACCTGTTTTCCAAAATAAATCTAATTTGGCTGGTAGATATATTTAAAGCTGCATTCCTTTGAATGCCATCAAGTAATTAGTATGTAACATAATGCTTTGCAGTTCTATACTGTTGTAATTCACATTACATTCAGTTCCCTTCAAATGTCACCTTATTTTCTAGATTTTTAACTGTGTTGATGTTACGAACGCATTCAAAGTTAAAGAGTCATCTCGTGAACGTCATTATCCGCTTTCAAATTGTGTCGGGCAAACTGTTATAGTTCACACATGTACACTTGTATATGCACTGCCGGCGACCGACTCAGCTGGCAGCAGGCTTGAAAACAGGCCTCAGGAGAGGCGAGGAGATAAGATGCACCGCCTGGCAGACCAAGAGGGAGCGACGTAAAGAAAAAGCAACAGACACCTCTGGAGTTTTACTCTTTGGTTCTATTCGGTAAAGTCACGTAGGTAAAAAATAAAATAACAAAAATCACGACGTTTCGGCCACAACACAAGTGGCCTTCATCAGGTGAAGGGACCGTGCTGTCATGAGGACACTCCAACGCTGTCCTCATGACAGCACGGTCCCTTCACCTGATGAAGGCCACTTGTGTTGTGGCCGAAACGTCGTGATTTTTGTTATTTTATTTTTTACCTATGTGACTTTACCTTTACCGTATGGATCCTTGCAGTCACGAAAGCTTCAAATCTAGAACCTCTGGCGCTGCCACAGCATTCACTTGCAATTGCTGTGGCAAGGATTGTCACTCAAGGATTGGCCTACTAAGTCATTCTAGGCGCTGCAAAACCTACAGCTGACCTCGTGAGGCGCAAAAAGAATTGTCTCTCGAGACACAAAGGCCTATGATAAGATATGTATGCGACTCCTCTGTCTGTATATGGGTTACTTTATGGAATGTAGGCAGTTCTTGTCTTAAGAGCGAGAAAAAAAAACGAAGATTAAGCGATTGCAAAATAAATCGAGGAGATGACAGACAACGGCAGACTAAACAAAAGGCAGGTAGACGGGCAGATATGTGCCGTACAAGAACAGTACATTCACACTGTGTTATTTTACTCTTTGACTCCCCCCCCCCCCCCCCGCAGTTCACGGATCCTCGCTCTCCCTTGTGTCCAGCACGTCCTCCATCTACTCCACGGTGAGTGGGCTGTCACACCGCGAGCCAAGTCAAAACGTGAATCGGACGCTTGGCTTCCTAACAATGTAACTGGATAGCTGTACTCGGCAGGTGTTCTAAATCTGTGTGCAGTCGAACAAAAAAGATGAAATGCGTTTGGGTTTTGAATGTGGTTTTTTATTTTGCCTTCGGCTGCTATTTTTCATCGTCTAGGTGCGTCGCCGCTATAGAGTTTGGTAGTTTTTGTGGTTACTGTATCACGTAACGCCATGTTATTCTAGCACACGGAGCGCTTGTGTAAATGTGTCGTGCACATTACATCACCCTTGGGCTGCACCGTGTCGGATAATCTCCATTTCTGTCAGTGCTCCATTTCCACTCGGAATGTATAGATAAAAAGAACAATGCATTCATCAGCAACACTGCAACCTTAAAATAAATATATATAATAGACGATGTTTCGGGTAATGGTCCTTCAAATCACATACATCATTTGTGTGCCACGTGTTGACTTTTTTTTGTTAATTGTGCTTGTTGCACCACTGCCAACGCACATAATGAATTAAAGTGTTATACGTATTAATATGTACGTATGTTGAACTTTTTTTTGCACACTATGTAGCCAACCATGCTCATCGGAGGTGCGGAAATAGTTTATTTTGTGATGATCAATTTCACCGCAGAAATGTGGTGAATTGTAATTATTCAGGATCACGCTTTGATTCAAGAATGTGCGTTTGTCCCCTTTTCATTGTTTCTCATTTATTCTCTCTCATTTGTTTAGTCTGTTCACCCACCTGCCCTTAATATAAAATCCGTACACAAACACAAGCCAGGGCACATACATTGTGAACATTATAATGTTGTGTTTTGCATAATCTCAATGCAAGCCTCACGCACCTCCGATTTGCACAGTTGGCTACGTATGGTGCGAAAGAAGTTCAACATAAGTACATAAATACAAGCATGATCACGATGCATGGGGGTTGTTACTTTGGCAAATCAGTCAGTGCAGGTTGCTGAAGGGATGTGGGGGTGGTGGCGGGGGCGGGGGGGGATGCACGCGAGTTCGGGGGACCGGGATCAGTTCAAATATCACACTCTCCACTGTGTCAGCCATCGACGGTAATCAAACTCAGGTCGCCAGTTTCATAGAGCAATGCGCTAGCCACTTCGCCCGCTGAGTGCTATATTTATTGTGTGGCGCGAGTATTGATAGGCGTGGTTTTTGTTTGCAGTGTGATCTACGAACTAGCAGTTAAACTGGAATTAGCAGCAAGCATTTGGCATTGTTTTGACAGTTTTGCCATACGACGAGGGCGAGCGCGAAGTGGTCTCCGTGTTTTGGAGGTCTTATGGGATATGCTCGCCTCACAGTCAGTTCAGCCCCAGAGATTACGCAGATGTTATGTTGTACCAACATGTGCACTCGCAAAGGAGATATTAACTCTGCCGTCTCGTCTAATTTGTTGAAAGTAATTGATGGCCGTTTATTTTTACAAGACCAAGCTAATGTCCTGGCAAACTTCGTCAAGTTAATTAGCCTTCATTGTGCAGGTCTTCTTTTGCCGTTTGAACATTTGGTTCTCATGGGATTCCTTTTTTAATACATACACAAATGTAAATAAACCTCTGTAATAATATACAATATTGAAATGAACGTAAAACATTGTTCCATGTCCGGAACCTCTAAATGTCAATGGGTGTCAATGGTACAAAATATATGCAATCAATCTTTTGACACGTAACCTTTTCTCAAACAAACTTTAAATGACTCCTGGCAAAAGTAAGGATGTCTTTGTCTCCTTTATATTTGCATGTTGCAAATATTGCAATCATTATTCATGATCAAATCAGAATATTTATTTATTCTGGAGAAATCCAATGAGCTATAAAGCTCTTTTTCACAGATGTCCAGTAGGGGCGGGTCAGAACGTTATAACAACAAACTATATAAAAACACGATAGGAGTGCAAAGTATAGGAAAGGCAAGCAACCTGCACACAAATGATAGCTCAGCGAAGTGGCTTATGTGGAAATGTATAGCAGGCAAATATTCTACGAATGTATGGAGGCCCCATGCCGTTGCCATGCCACAGTACAGGACTGCAGTGCCACAAACCATCTCGCTTCTGCACACGAACTGACCTCATCCCTGTATGTCCATGGTGGTCGTCCCCCTGGGTGTGTTCTGGTACCAGTCTTGTCCATTGGCCATCATCCCTTCAACCGATGTCCTGCCCAAGCCAACTCTATGTCCTTAACGGTCAATATGACATCTCAAATGGATATATTTTTTCCAGTCCACATGATCTTCTGTCTGTCTCGAGTGTAACTCCATAGTTACTGTTAATCATTACGTAAATAATTATTTCACAAATCTTAAAATGTTTTGATTATGACACTTTCACTTTTTAATATTGTGCAATTGCCTTTTTTTATCTTGGAATTAAGTGTAACCTCAAGTCTGTCTTGAAAAAGAAACTTGTCGTCTCAATGTGCTCTCACCTGGTTGATGTAAGGGAAATTAATAATTAGAAATCTTAGCTGAAACGCAGTGTGATGCTTAGGTAAGTCGTCTGTTAAAGAGATTATATTTTTATTTTCATAGTATACTTATTGGAAGATCGATGACGGTAATAACGCGTAAATCATAAAGCTGCTACCGACTACGCACTTTGACCCATTACAACGCATTGCAGTTGTAAATGGGCCGCCGCTTTGTCAGTCCATTTCATCAGAGACAAAGCAGATGGAGGAAGGGGGCCCCGCAAAACGCTTGGTATTAATTAACTCGGGAATCACCGCTGGAGAGAAAAAATACAGCGGGAGTGCTGTAAGCCTGTAGAAATAACGGTGCTTTGTTTTATGCTCCCAAGGCAAGTTGCCATATAAACAAGTGTCCCGTCCCTTGCTGACGAGGCAGGAGAGACCGCCTTTGTGTCTGTCATCCCGTCCATTAAATTTGTTGGAAAATAAGCGAAACTTGAGATTGGATGGAAACGCTACACTTCAAATTCATTTGCCGTTGATATAGTTGTTCAGAGGACATTCGGCTTAGTCTGTTCACCTGCTGGAGCTTCAGTGAATTAAAATTGTAAAGTAAAAAGCCGGATTTATTTTTTTAATAAAGCGTACGTTAATGCTACTGTATGCATAATACCGATAAAAATAAAGTTTTGTGTGTTCATAATACATGCACAGGCTAAGTTAAGAATGCACTGCATGTGCATGGGTAATTCTTTATTATAATTTTATGCGTACACATTTAGTTTTTGTCCAAGGTATGGTTTTATATTTTTTATCATGTTATTATCAAAACCAAATTCTTCGTCAGTTTTACCCTATGCATTTTTTGTCGCATGTCACACGAGATAAAGGTTATGGAAAGTGAATTCATGTTGTTATGTGGGTGCAACTTGAAAGCAGATTTGCCCCGAGCATCTGATTGGCGGACAGGAATGTCCAATGGGGAGCAGCCTCGAATTTCCACAGGGCTCATTGACAGACAGAAATATTACAGCAAGCAAGCATGCAGTGGATTATGAGAACCCCTCACTGGGGTACATGGGACAGAAGCGCACGAGCATGTGCATCTTAGCACAGGATGTAATGGCTTTGGAACAACAGTTACCGTTCTTTACGAGCGCCTAGTTCAGAGTTGTGGTTCAGCATGGCAACTGACATTGTCAACATCATGGGAATTAAGAATGGTCCAGATTCAACAGTATGTATTATTTTCATTATTTTATGTAAAGTGTGCTTTGCTTAAAATGATTTATCCAGTATCGATGCCGTTCGTTTTCTTGTACGTTTATGTGAGTTTTATATGAATGTGTATAGATTTAGGTAAAATGCGTTTTCTTTAGGCTGGGATGTTTTGTGGTTCATTGAATGGCTGCATTTGAAAAACAGTCTCCTCTGGTGATAAACAGATTGTCTCCTCTGGTAATAACGCTACGTTCGTGACTACTCTGTTTACGAACAGTTCCAGGCATTTTGACGTTTGGTATGCAAATGATATGAATCGGTCAATTGCAAGGCAGGGCGAGTTAATACTCCATAAAGGTAGGCGTACGTTTGTTAAACATGACCATATTTTAACATTACCATGTGTTTTTTTGCCAGCTCTTGAAGATGTTGATGTAAAAGCGTAATAAACGACTTATCGTTTATTATGCGCTTATTCGCTAAACTATTTACTGTGTGAAAGATCCTTCCATTGTCTAATGTTCGCCTAAACAAGCTCTCTTAGCCACTGAGAAATGTGTCTGGGCGAATTGTCAGCAGCTGTAAAAGCGGGCGTGATCACATTACTGTGCGATTAAAATCCATCTGGCTGGCTTGGTCTTACACTTTAAAAGCAGCAGCAGCAGCCAATGAACACCAGATGGCTGCTGTATTACAGGCATACGCAAAAAATGTCTTATATTTATTGCTGTGCTACTTTTTATAGTTTTGTATTTTTTTAAAGATTACGAACTGTTTCACGTTTTCATAAAACACTGCTGTGTGGAGCTCTACGCTGCTTTATTTTCTCTCGGTCTTCTTTACTTTTGTTTGCTATCGTTTTGCTGGTACATTAATTTTCATTTGCACACACGCACTTAACTTCCTAATAGGTATATTCAAAAGCCAGCTGGCTCATAATAGTGGCACATTAATTATTTTTTTAAAAATTGTTAAAATGAAAACGCTTCTGCAATCCACAATCCATAAAGCTTCGCGGACAGATGTCTGCCTTGACGGAGGTCCTGCGTGTTCCCAGTACGCAGAGTGCCTTGGGAGAAGTGGCATGTCGCTGTTGTCAGCGGGCGGGCAGCCTGCATTCTCCACCACACACACATGTGCGTGTGTGTGCCGTACTTATAAGAGATAATGAGAGAAAGTCTGCATAGGTTGTATGCATATCCTACCACAGGGGATTATCCGGGATTAGGTTTTGTGTCTTGAGTGTCCAAAGCAGTTGCTGGTAATGGAAGGGAGAGGATTGAAGAGAGGAAATGAGAGCAGCACCAGTAGCTGGCAATGCAGTATAAAGTTACCGCTTCATTTTTCAATGGAGTAAAAGAGTTCTATAACAAGCTGACCATATGGGGCGAGCGTAGCAAATTTTGTCGAGAATTGCCGTTCACGTGCGCTCATTCCATCACCGAGAATTTGCTCACGTGCCACCTCTAAGACGGGCCAACGTGCAAACGAAAGCGTGTTCTGTTTGTGGCTGAGCTACTATATGAACTGGCCCTTGGGTTCGCTGTTGAGTTTTGATCGCAAAAACTAAAAGTATTCATTTTCCCAGTCTGCCCGCTGCCCCTTGGTGTTCACAGTGGCTGGGCACAGCATCACAGCCTTTATTTATGTGTAATCAACCACGACACTCCGCATGGATGCGCGACTGTATGGTCGTGAATGGTGGCCGTCCTTTTGAGTGTGACAGTATGGTTTTTTTTCTCCTGTGGAGTGCAAACCAGCAGAAAGCATCCCCACAGGAGTTACCATCTGCCTTGAGTATCTATCTGTCTGCAATTATTTCTAACCGTCTGTGTGCCTGTCTGTCGAGCTATTCATTAATGATAATACAAGCATTTTATATTATTTAAGCAAATTTTGGATCGAATGGTACAGGGAATTTTTCTTGGTAAAATCTTGAATAAGACTTTTTAAATTGTGTTGCTGCATAAGCGACACGTATGTAATTGTACTCTATAAGAAGCTGTTGCTCACATGGAGTTACTTTAATGTGCACACAAATTAAAGCTGCAATATCAACACCATTACCTAATGTTTGTCGTCTGTTGTACATACACTGCTCTTAGTCCGAAACACAATTTCCCACCGTTTCATTATTGAGGTTTTACCACACGTTATTGGTCATACATGTGCTTCAACAACGCATCATAAACATTTGTACAGCATAGCATTATTATAATGCACCTGCTATTTATTTACATGCATTGCACACGAGGGGAAATAATAGCTTTCTGTGGACGATGTTATTTTCTGAGGTCATCCTTTGCTTTGCGCGTGGGTAGCTGCGTGGCGGTGGCTTTACTGGCTTAAATTCCCATATCAGAATACAAAGCCTAGGAGCCCTGGGGACTCTCCGTTCAAATTCAGCCCAAGGTGAAAAGACTGGAGCTCGTTTCGATCGTTGAATCCCATGTGCTGCAGGGTTTGATGGTTCTGGCCCATTACTTCTGACCCTTGTAGCAAATCGAATTGTTCCCCAAAGCTTGTTCGCTCACACAGAAATGTGTTTTGTCATGTGCAGCAAAACCGAGCCAGAGTTGCTCGACATCACCTGCGTGGTTCATATGAGTTTAACACGTAGGCTTTCGCGACCAGCATTATCCATCGTAGATGTTTTGGGGTTAGATCGCATAAATATAAATGTGTCGTAAAACCCGCCACCACCCGACACAGCCAATTCGTAAGATTTGTCACGTAAACAAAAACATGTCAATTTGTTACTAGGACAGCACACTGGTGTGTTGGAGAGTAAACGCACAAAATTAACAGTTCGAGTACGACGTTTCACCAGTAATTACAATTAGCATCATCAGGCAGACAGCCAGAGTTGTGGAGAATCCTGCTTCGGTCTTCAAAAATAATATGATTTACCAATAATATGATATACAAACGAGCGACGAATACATTTTCAGAATCTCTATTTATCCTGGAGAAATCCGGTGAGCTACAAAGCTCTTTTTTTTCACAGATGTCCAGTAGATGTGGGTCAATAAACACTTTTCGTACAATTGTTACGATCTTTTGTGGGGGGCGGGATGGGGCTGTGGCGTAGTGCACCATGAACCCAGCGACCTGGGCCCCCTTCACCAAACCGCACTGCCCAGAGAGGAAAAATATGGTCAGACAACCCCCACAACCAACACGGCATGTGGGGGGAGGGCTTCTTCCAGCGGTGATTTGACAGAAGGGCTGTAAATTATTTATTGTGATTTATTTTCTTAAGGTTTACACATTGGCTTATAATCCGTTAAAAATTGTTTACACGATATGTTTGCAATCGACTGGGCGCTTTCATCTGTGCGAAGACGCGTTGAATTTACTAAAGTGAGAGAAATTGCCCTTGACAAGCCTGAGAAACATTTGCAAAGATTAGCATCTAAAATATGTACATGTGTATTTATATAGATGTAAAAAAAGTATGTTGTGGTATTTGGTGAGTATATTAACCTGGCATCAAACTGATATTTTCTTGAAGTGGTTTTTATTTTTTAAAAGTCAATATATAGTTTAAATCCTATATATGTATAAATAAGTGAAGTCACATACAATCCGAATGCTAATTTAGTTGAAGCCCAATTTTGTATTATGAATGAGAATACGCATATTTACGTTAAAATATATTAATAATGCCAATTATTTGCCCAGGAAAGCCTCCTGGAATCATAATACTCAAGGGTCCTGAAATGGAATCATTGACCATTCGTGTTTGGCATGTGCAGACTCAAGTCTAGTGAATGGATTCAATTTATCTGTGGACCGCACCCATTGCAATATGTATTGCCATCTCCTGGCACTTTACAGCCCTAGTATTCACCAAGTTATACTGCATGTGATAAACTTAAACAAAGTTCATAACATAATGTTTGATTATTCTTATTATCCTGAGCAGGTTTCTTAAATCCCCTCGCCTCTGTCCACCCAGATTCCAACTCTTGACGCCTGCTGTATATTTGGCGTTTGCATTTCTCCACGTGGTTGTGTGTATTTTCTTCTCCCAGTCCTCCGCTTTTCCCTCCACATTGAGAAGCATGCGTTTAGAATATTTGGTTGCGATCAATTTCCACATGATAAGCCCCTTCGTTGAGCTGTCATTTGTAACCAGGTCGCTTCTGAAAAAAAAAACCCCGAATAGCTCAGTGGGCATTACCTGGTAAAATAAAAAAAAGTATATTTAAAGTATCTTTATTTATTTTTTTGGAGTTATTTACTCACCTTTCCCATACTCTGCACTCCTATATATCTTTTTATTGTTTGTTGTAACTTTCTGACCCGCCCCTTCTACTGCACATTTTGTGAAAAAGAGCTTCATAGCTCATCGTATTTCTCTAGGATAAATAAAGATGCTGATTCTGTATTATGTGTACATCACAGTGAGTCGATTGACGGGTCCCTGCGTGGTGAAATCAAGTGTGTGTACTCCCACAACTTCCAAGGCGTCTATGCAGCCTTAAAAGTGTAGCCCAAATAAACCGCACGAAGTGCTCTCTCAGGCTCCCTCTAGTGGGGGCCCTTCGGCCAGCTGTTGAGTGAGTCATTGCAGAGACCCAGTAACCGTGGAACGCTGGGGCCAACTCTTTCAACCACATCCCCAACGTTGTTCCGACGTTTGCACGTTTACTGGGGATACGCCTTTACGTTATTGCACACCGTTAACACACATTTCGTACTTTCCCACACGCGTATGTGCGCGTGCTTATTTTATTTATTTCTGAAGTTTCCGTGTGTGTTGATGGTCGCCATCTCATTTAGCAGCAGTTTAACTCATTTGTGCTTTTATTTGTCTCCTCACAGCCCGATGAAAAGGCAGTTTCTGAGGTAAGTGCAATTTCGTGGCATCGTTCACAGAATGCATTTGATGGCTCATTCATCAGAACTGCCAGGCCCCACCAACTTTTCAGGATATGTCAGAATGAATGCCCTGGATTCGTTGTGAAACCTGAGATTGTTATTGTTACTGGCCTGACTCTTCACAGATATTTTCCGAGCACCGTAACCATATATAATACGTTCGTTAAGTTGACAATAAAGATAACATAATACGTCAAACCCCGAAAGAGTTAACGTCTTGTTGAGGTCTGTTTATTTACTCGTAACATTTGTGAATATATTTTTTTCTGAGAAAAGGCTTTTTGGCTCAAAATGCTCAGCTATTGATGTAAATGCTGAATTTACTTGCCTGCGGTAGGTGTAATGGGTGTTGTCTAATATGTCACGATTGTGGAGTGTTTGTTGTGTATTGTGTGGTGTGTGTAATGTTGATTCTATGCATATGCTCTTTAATTTTAGGGTATCATCTTTTTTTTATTTATAGGATAATCACGTGATTTCGACATTGTCGGTTTAACAATTTAAACACACATTTATATAAAAAAAAACGTGTTTATATAGTGCAACAATTAATTTACAGTAATTTGTGACGATACTCGTAATTTATACACAAAGATAGTTTAATTCTTACCCAGTTTGTCGTTGACAATGTATCTTCATATTGTCCACCTTATAACCAAGATTTCTTTATCATAGAAATAAGTGAATCCTCTGTGAATTCATTGCCACCCTGTCCAAGTAGTATTATTCCAACCTTTAAGAGTTGGTGGGGGGGGGGGGGCGCCCATATAAAATTTGTACCCTTTTTTTTTTTTAATTCGTTCCTTGCCACGGTGCCGCATGTTGCGTTTGTGAGAATCACACCACGAGCATAACCTGCGTTGCGCGACACAGATGAGAAAGCTGCGCCGGGAGCTGGACCAGTCTCAGGAAAAAGTGGCGACGCTCACCGCTCAGCTCACAACCAACGTAAGTGCCGCCCCCCCCCCCCATCCCCCCAACCCGCCATCCCCAAGTTCTGCCGGCAGGGAGCAAAGCCCTCAGAATGTAAAATGAGTCCCTGTGAAATCCCCTTGACTTTGGAGTGCTGGCACAAGACGCCTGTGCTTCTGAATGTACGGGGGGGGGGGGGCTCCGGTGTTAAAGACCACAAGTGTTTGAACAGGTGGAAATGTGTTGATCTTTACTCCAAACAGAATTGACTTAACTTCCTGTAGGAATGAAAAGCACATTTTAAAACATGTTTGCTCTCTTCCTTTGGATCCGTAATCCAAACAATGAAAGTCAATCTCATTGGGAAGCAGTAATGTGTAATAGTCCGTATTGAAAAGAATCCAGTGTGTGGGATGAGTTTCCTTAAGTCAGGAAATTTATTGTGTGGGATCGTTTAATTTGCAAACCGACATTTTAAAAGGTTGGATGACTGCCAATACTTTTAATTAAAACCTGGTTGTCAAAAAAATAGGCTTAAGATACTGCCTTAATTTGCACAAGTAATTATTTGTGTTTAAACTAAGTGCCAAACTAATTTAGGTACTGTTTTCAGGTATTTTCATATGTCTTACAGCCAATTTGTGCTATTGCAAACAAAAACAGCCTACAGAGGGGTCAAACTCAAGTTATTCTTAGATCCTTATAGTTCAATCACACTCTCTTTATTCTACTTAAAACAAGTAATAATATCCTATTCTGGAGCACCTTCCACCAAGCCAGAGAGATTTGAGCAACTATACAAGAAAGGTGCCAATATTATTGTTGAATAATTTAATTGCAATTTTGATTACAATTTTGACACTTTCTATTCAATTTAAAGCTTTCGTGACTGCAGGGATTCATCTTCTTGGTTCTTTCGGTAAAGTCACCACGTAGAAGGGATATAATAAAATAATAATAAAATAAAATAAAAATATGTTTTGTTTCATTTTTATTATTTTATTAATAACATAATGTTTTGCTTTATTCTTATTATTTCCCTTCTACGTGACTTTACCGAAAGAACCAAGAAGACTTTCTATTCACTTTACAAGCACTGACGATTTCACGTATGTGAACAAGGTCACTGGGTTGTATTGTCCACTTTGCAGTAGATGGCAGACTTGGGCTTTTCTCCTCGAGTTTTTTTTCACCAAGAGGTTGCAGGAATACAATTTTTTTTACCTGAATGAAATATGATTTTGTAATGACCATGCTTACGCACGAGACTGTCCAGCTTGTCCGTGTTCAAATTTTAAGCGTTGCCATGATACGGTGCGATACTTCGACATATCGGACGTATCTTGTTCTATCGCGATGATTACCATTGCTAGTTTTTATCAATTTTTTAATGTAAATTTCTAACAAAAATATCAAATAATAATTAATGTTCATAACAATAAAGAAACATGTAAAATAAAGCCGTTGTCCTTAATTTGGTACTTTGTAAAAAAATAAAATTCGGATAAATCCATAGCATGGTTATCATATATTGTCATCATTTTCTGACAACATGCAAGTTATGTGTTCTTATCGATTAAAAACACGCAATGATAAGAAGACATTTTTAAGGCATGCTTATGTTCTGAGTGAACCTCAGTTCAATAACTTTTAAGTAATCTTTATTCAGACTTGAAGTACATCACAGCGCAGACACAAGACAATAAAACACGTCATACAATCACAGAGTTATATTGTGGAATGTTACATTGTAGCGTATTGCATCGTGAAACAAAATATTTTGTGGCTATCTGAGTAAAAACTATAGGTTGTGAACACTGATTTAGTTCCATATTTGTAACTGCAAGTATTTTTTTGTAAGCCTGTTTTTAGCCACAGTATATACAATGGAATTCTTTGCAGTGAACATTTTTTTTCAATAGACGTGTGTGAGCATGTCTACTGTGTGTTGATATAAGCTGATCTGAGAATTCTCCTTTTTTAACGTTTCAAGGATTGGAATGATTTCCTTGGCACTTAAGCTGCTTTAATTGTCATCTTATTGTTTCATACTGATGAACAGCGAAGCTGTTGTTAGTATATATTTATTTAAAAGGTAGCAGCTTAGGCCATTTTATATGTTTTTACATGTATCGGTACTTCTCGGGTTAATCTACCACTGGAATTGCCCTGCCCATGGTTATAAACCTTAATCCTTCACGGGGAAAACCTTTGATCCTTCTTTATGGCTCCCACTAAAGGTCAGCCAGTACATCACCTCCGGCTATCAATGAGCATGGTTGTAGTACCCAAAAAAAGTTACCATAGTTGTGAGTTAAAAAAAAAAAGCATTTGAACATTGTTTGAAATGTAAATGTTCATTATTAGTGTGCTAAATCATGCTAATCGCAGGTGGTTAAACTTAATATTATACAATTACATTGAAATACAGCCAAACATTCTACAAAGGCAATTTTGTTCATGTTGGCCCACTTTTTAATCATAGTGTTAGTAGCAGGTGTTTTAAAGTCAAGCCTGGGACTGTAGCCGTTGATTATTCTTTTTGAGTTCCATAGTTCCTCAATAAATAAAACTATATAAATTTGCCGAGCATATCTGAATAATTGTTTCTTCATTCCAATTGATTCCATGCTCATGTCAGGCTTTGTGTGTAAATATCAAATGATCACATTGGCGTGCCAAATCTTGTGACGTGTTTTTATTGGTTGTGTTGTACCGAGGTGTCATTGCAATAACACTGGAACTATGTGAGCATATTGTAGAAATATGGCATTTCAACAATATTGATGGCTCAAAGGTGAACAATAGGGCTGAGAATAGCAATGTAACGTAAGACATTTCGTGATGCATAAGCTGTGAATGCTGGTCCGATCACTGCCTAGCCAGTGCAAAAGGTGCCGCGAGTCTCATGTTTACGATAGTGGCTGTTGGTTCAAGCAGTGTAGCTTGTCGAAGCAACCCGTAGGGTCGGCTGTAAAACACAAAATAGACTCTCACAGTGAAGAACAAAAATGCTCCGGGGTGGTGTTTACACAGGCCCATTATTAGGGGGCAGTTCGTTGTGTTGTAGGAGCTAGACTTTACTGTTCAGTTGATTAGAGATGGCAGCTTCCTGCTTTGGTAAATCCCTGTGTTTGTCCTGTGACCAGTGAGAACCTCTTCTTGTCGGCAAGATTATGAAATGACATAAGTGCAACCTAATTCGGAAGCCGTGGGTTGTCCCGCTGCTATTCGGACGCGCACTCTGGTGAAGTCGGACAACTGCAGAGAGTTGGGCTGCAACGGAGCTGCTGTGATCTAATCTTCGACGACGTCATCCATATTTTTGGCAGGCGGCTCTAGAAATTGTTTCGCCGTGTCAGTCTTTAAGCCCTGCTTGTAGTGTTCACACCTCAGCATTAAAACCATTTTTGCGTGAACACCGATGGCTGCCGGCGGGACATTATAAAGAGCACCTGGTGCGAGTTTTATTTTTCGCAGAATGTATTCTTTTGCTTTTGTAACTGAAAACAAAGGGTTTTTGTTTTTCTCTTTCAGTTTTTCCTCTATAGGACTGTGACAGCTAGGTTGTTTAAAATGAGGGCATGCTTATGCTGATACCCGTTGGAGAGCACGGAGCCGTGCATTCGAGGATTCATTTCTCGTGTCGTGCTACATCGGTTTGGGTGGGGGAATGTCGGGTTATCAGAATTATCAGAGCTCCGCTACCGCACTGGTGTGGCCCACTCTAAACTACTACCCTCCCGTGAAGAAGAAAGTCGACGCAAAGACGGCACACCAGGACGAGGGGAGCGCAGACCACCACGGCGCCTGTGGTAACAGTTTACTGACTCGACGTTCACTTAAAAACCCCTACACAGAACCACAGGTGTGTACTGTTTGTTGTAAGGCATGGTCTGCACCTTGTCGATTCCTGCACACCTCTTGGTAGCCTGTGTATTTATACCTCCTTTCCTTCGCCAACACCGCGTGTCTTCATTTTGTCAAGGAAATGAAGGAGCTTGTTTTTTTTGTGCTGTACATTATATTGTTTGGTTTTATCACGTAGTGCATTACATATGGTATATATATATGGATACCTTGGACTTAGGAGTATGAGAGTTATCTTTTTTAAGTGGAAAAGCTATTGTAGATTTTATATACATTTTAAAAAATACAGCTAAAATGTTATACCTATTTACGATTTGAATAATTGGTCTCTCCATGCTGCCAATGCAGCGGTGTAATTGGGGACATCGCAGTTGATCGGCAGGTCGTATGTGTGGTGGGATAAAGTGTGGGTACTCTCACCTCCCTTCCGAAATTGTCTGACCAGCGTGGACGAGGAGGTCAAAATACCCTCTTGAGGGGCCTCTCTCTGTAGCTTCCTCTCATAGAGGCCTTTCTAGCAGCAGTGACGTGAGCAAGCAATTGCAGGGATGCACCTTTATCTTTCGCACCTTGCTTATGGCTTACCTCCATCCATTACGAGCATTGCTTTGTTGTACCTGATGAAAACAGCTGACCGGCTTACTCATTCACCAGGCTGTCAACGTCGGCTGTCTGAATGCCTGACGGTGAACAGGCATATGTCAGCAATGTAGAGCTTGTTCCATCGGAGGCACCACGTGACAGGAGCAAGTGTTTTTACAGGCAACCATTGTTCAAAGCAACTTGAAGTCTGGTCAATGTTCAGCCTTTTTCACACAAGTGCCCACTCGGTCATATACACGAACTCCCCGATCCGTGCTAATCTATCATGCTTGCAGTGTGCGTGTGAAATGAGGCTATAATGATTTTCATAAAATTCTGTGTCATGTGCCTCGGGTAGTTTCTAATTTTTCGTGACGTAGAATGTCACAAAAAGGGCACCTTTACTCCGAAAACCGGTGACATTTTACCTGGGGAAAGATTCGTACAGTGCGTTTTTTGCATGTGCACTGCTTCAGGGGTCCCCTTCACACTGGCATGGAGTGGAGGAGCACTGTTAAGAGATTCTTGAGGAGCTTTCGTGTCGGATAAACGGTGCTTAATGGTGATTGTACAAAGCATTTTAA